AGGGTTCAGTATAAAAGTAGTGCTTCAAAGGAGACCCTTGTGACTCTGGAACGTCAAATAGGAGCACCTGAGAGTCAAGGAAGGTGCTCGTGGCAAGTGTCAATTTAATCAAGAGCTGAGGGTGAAGAGTCATTAATGAAGTGAAGGGAAGGAGAAAATCATCTGAGCTGAGAGAATAGCTGATGCAAAAGCCCTGTGGCCAAAAACCATGGCTCTTTGCAGACATTGAAATAAGACCTGGGATGCAAACTAAGAAGGCCAGAGAGGCAAGTGCATGCTGAGAGCTGGAGAACCACAGCTAAGGATGTGGTCCTATCACCAAAACTGTGGGAAACTGTTGCTCTTTTGATTCTAAAGGCAGGGGTCCCCAGCCTCCAGGATCTAATGCCTAGCGATGGTCTGAAATGGAGCTGATACAAAAATAATAGAAATAAGTGCAAGTGAAAGTTGCTCAGTGGTGTCTGACTCTTTGTGACCCCATGGACTGTAGCCTGCCAAGCGCCTTCTATCCATGGAATTCTTCAGGCAAGAACACTGGAATGGGGAGCCATTCCCTATTCCAGGGATCGAACCCAGGTCTCCTGCATTGCAGGCAGATTCTTTACTGTCTGAACTACCAGGGAAGCCCAGTGAAAAAGGATGATTCAAGCACATTAGATTTACTGTGCAGTAGAAATAAGTGAAAAGTGTTAGTCACTCAGTTGGATCCGACTCTGTGCGACCCCATGGACTGTAGCCCACCAGGCTCCTCTGTCCATAGGATTCTGCAGGCAAGAATACTGGAGTGGGTTGCCATTTCCTTCTCCAGGGGATCTTCCTGACGCAGGGATTGAACCCCGGTCTCCCACATTTCAGGCAGATTCTTTACCGTCTGAGCCACCAGGAAAGTGTACAATAAGTGTAATGCCCCTAAGTTGTCCTGAAACTGTTCCACCCCCTACCCCCAGTGTGTGGAAAAATTGTCTTCCACAAAACCGGTGCCTGGAGCCAAAAAGATTGGGTACGGCTGTTCTAGGGGGTGATGTGATTGAATTCTCTTTGGAAAGTTCTTACTCCAGCTTCAGGTCAGTCGGTGCATCCTACTGAGAGCAGCCAGGCAAGAGACGAGGGTGGTCCAGAGCACTTTGTTGCAGCCAGAGCCCCGCCCCTGGAGCCCAGGGCTGACATCCAGCTCAGCCCTCTTTCCTGACCACTTCCTTGTTTTATGTTTGCTATTCTAACAAATCTTCTTCTCTCTCTGCCTCCAAATGAGGACTCACATTGCTGGATGCATTTTACAGTCCCAGCTCCATCCCATTCAATTTTTCTCACCTTCCTTCTTTCCCTCCCCAGCCCGATCCCCCACTAACTTCGTAAAACTTGCAAGTTAAATTTTTCAAAGACTGGATCTGACAAAGCAGAGGGAATTAGATTTGGCGAAACCCTTCATAAAAAATTGAAGACACGTTATATTAACATACATTGATTTATTCATAGTGTTTCATTACAAGTAAGTGAGGATCCTGTAATACCAGGAAAGGTGAGGAGAGCAGGCGAGCACGGTATATTATATTGACAGCTCGGTGGAAATTGAGTCGCTTTTGGATTGAATTTGGAGCGCAGAAAAGGAATTGGCTAGTAAATAAGGCATGAGTTTTACCACCCAGCGTCTGTATATCAATGTAGTTGCCACCAGCCCAGGCAGGGGATAGGGGCGGAATTTCAAAAGGATGCTCCAGCACCCCGGGGTTCATAGCCCCAGGCAGAACTGTTCGAACATCTGCCTCCTTCTTCCACCAGGAAAAACTGGATTCCAGCTGCACCCAGCTCTCCAATCAACACAGGATTTTTTCTCCATTCTCCCAAGCCTTCTCCCACCCCAGGTCTTTGCCCAGTTAGTTTGCTCTGCCTAGAACCTAGAATGCTCCTTCCTCTGCTCTGACTCTTTATCATCCCTGGGTATTATTGATAGTTCAGTTTTCCCCTTAAGATACCACCCAGAGCACTTTGTCTTAGTTTGACGTTTCTCAGGAGCAGAGGCTGAGACAAGGATTTGAGCGTGAACAAATTATTGAGAACTTTGGGAAAGACTAAAAATTGGGGCAGGAAACGGAAGGTAGCCAAGGATGGGTGTGTTTTCCAGCCAGCTACCTATGGAGACACATGGAGTGACATCTCTCAGGGAAATCCCCAGGGATGCAGCAACAGTATCACAAAAGAGGAGCCAGGAATGTATGGTTCAACTTCCATCAGTCCAGTCCCTGGGGGTGTGAATTACCTGGCTCGCTTCTGAGAAGGGCTGAAGTGGGTGGAGTTATCAGAGGGAATGCTGTGACCAGGCCCCCCCCTCCCCGGGACCTGAGGGGTGGGTACCCTGCCAACTCTGCTTGCAAAGTGCCCAAATCCTTCAGTTCTGTGCATGGCTCTGTCTGGATTCACTGCGCTCCAGATGAAGTCTGGCCTCTCTCCTCAACGTGTGACATCAGTTGCTACACTGCTTCTGCTTCATAGCAGAGAGAGAGGTTTCCTCTTTCTCCAGAATGATTGGTGCCCTAACCAGAAAAAGCCAGTTACTAATTTCTTTTAACTATTTATTTATTTGGCTGCACCGAGTCTTAGTTGCAACACGTGGGATCTTTAGTAGCAGCATGTGAACACTTAGTTGGGATATATGGGATCTAGGTCCCTGACCAGGGTTTGAACCTGGGCCCTCTGCATTGGGAGCACGAAGTGTTAAGCACTGGAGCACCAGAGAAGTCCCAATTGCTTCTTTTTAAAGCAAAGTTGGTATACTCCCTTTTCTGCCTGGGTTTGGCCTTCCTGACAAGCATGATATATTCCTGATGGAAGACAGTGGTGCAAGGCGGCTGTGTAGTTAACTTACCCCATTCTGGAACAGAGGACCCTGAGGACAGGGCCTGACTGGTGTGCATTGCATTCATTTGCTAGGGCCTGGCCACACGGAGTGCACGACCTAGAATACGGGAGTGTGCGCAGACTAGTTGTCAAGGAACGAGGGAGTGAGTGAACCAACAGAATGAACATATTCTTTGTTTACTTAGATGCGTTTTCAGGCAGCTAAGGGTGGTTTGGAATAAAGAATACAGGTTTCAGAGTCCAGCAAACCTGGGTTTATCTTTGGTCAGAGATAGGACACGGGATAACCATGACAAGGCCTGATCTATCGCCACACGTGATAGCCTTGTGAATCTCACACACATCATGTTGAGCAAAAGAAGCAGACCCTGAAAAGTACAGCCTATACAATTCCACTTATATAAAGCTCAAAGCCAGGCAGAGCTGGTCTTTGCTATTAGAAGGCAGGGTAGAGGGTATTCTTGCAGGGGGGCGGGGGGTCAGAAAGGAGGTGTGAAGGGAAAATCTCGGGTCTGGTAAGGTGTCTCTTGATTAGTTGCTGGTCACATGGTCCTGTCCAGTTAGTAAAACTTCATCCAGCTGTCTAGTTTTCTGAATATAAATTATGCTCCAGTAAAACACTTTTAATAGAACAAACTAGATAAACTTGGGCTTCCCTGGTGACCCAGATGGTGAAGAATCTGCCTGTAATGCAGGAGATCTGGGTCTGATCCCTGGGTCAGGAAGGTCCCCTGGAGGAGGGCATGGCAACCCACTCCAGTGTTCTTGACTGGAGAATCCCATAGACAGAGGAGCCTGGTGGGCTTCAGTGCATTAGGTCACAAAGAGTCGGACACGACTGAGCAACTAAGCAAGCACGTGCACGCACGCATACACACACACACGCAGATAAAGCAAGTAAACCAAAAATCCTAAGTTTGCTGCTTTAACAGCTGTGAAATTTAGAAATAAGATACTTAGAGTGTGATCCCTGGGGGCTGGTAAGGCAATACCAACTGTTTTGTTACTTTCACAGCAGGATAATATCATGCAGAAGTTGAGAGGGGGCACCCGGAAACTCTTTAGGGCATTGACATTGCATGTGTGGTCAATGGATGTGTCTCCTTGCATGTGCTATAGAACTCTCATGATGTCATGTGTGATGTGGTCTTTGAATCATTGTGGGTCTGCAGTGGGTGGGGAAACAGAACTGGGTCTTCATCATAGATATTTCAAAAAGCAGCGATTTAATACAGATTGTTTCCAATGTAGCCTTAATTTCTTCATCATTAAAATTAGAATGGCTATCTTGATACCCCCAAGGTTTTCCGGGAAGACAAAGGAGATAATGCATGAGACACCAGGCAGCACCTTGTGGAGTAGGGGATGCTTCCTTCATTTCTAACGAGCCTTCCAGATAATTCTTATCAGGATACTGTACATGGACACTGCTCGACAGCCACATGGGCTTTCCCGGTGGCTCAGCTGGTAAAGAATCTGCCTGCAATGCGGGAGACCTCGGTTTGATCCCCAGGTTGGGAAGATCCCCTGGAGAAAGGAAAGGCAACCCACTCTAGTAATCTGGCCTGGAGAATCTATAGTCCATGGGGTTGAAAAAAGTCAGACATGACTGAGTGACTTAAACTACAGCCACATTGTCCAAAGTGGTGGCCCCAAGTCACACAGAGTCACCACACTTTTGAAATGTGGCTAGTTCAAGTGGAGATGTGCTGTAGGGTAAAATATACACTTGATTTCTAAGATCTAATATGAATAATAAAGTACAACATATTTCATTAAATTTTTATGTTGATTGCAGGTTTAAATAATAATATTTTACATCTACTGGGTTTAACCAAATAGATTATGAAAATTAATTTTACTTTATGGTCTTCTTTTTTTTGTTCTGTAATGAGTATGACCATTAGAAAATTGAGAGTTATGTATGTGGATTAAATTCTATTTCTACTAGACAGCAATGCTCCAGAGCATGGGCAGTGAAGTATTTGGAGGCTGGAATCATCTGTAAGGTGGATGGTAATGGCTGAACTCGTTGACCACACTCTCCTGCCTTCTGCTTCCCTCCCCTGACGCTCCTTCAGGTGAGCTCCACTCAGCTTCCTGGGCAAGGCACTGATTGGTTTGTTTGCTGGCCTCTTGCACAGATCAACTACAAGGCCGTGGGCTCATTGGACCCAAGTGCTGACCTCTCCAGCCAGAGGGGCAAAGTGTTCAAGCTTCGGAATGAAACCCACCACCTCTTTGTGGGTCTGTACCCTGGAACCACCTACTCCTTCACCATCAAGGCCAGCACTGCAAAGGGCTTTGGGCCGCCCGTCACCACCAGGATCGCCACCAAAATTTCAGGTATCTGTCCTAGAAAGGGGAAAGGAAGAAAGGTGATGATGTTGGTTTTTATCCACTCCTAATACACCTGGGAGTGGAAAAGGGCGGAGCCGACCATCACCATGTGATCGTGGAGCAACAAGGACAGTGCAGTCCCTCGTCTGTCACTACCGTCATCTCATGAAGAAAACCTAGTCCAGGAGCTTCCTAAAATATAGAACATATATCAATTACACTAGACCAGAGGGAATGCTGAGTGATTTACTAAATAGTTTACCTAGCACACAGTTGCATCAAATAGTACATTTTCCCCATACGATTTCATTTGTAAAAATGTGATTCATTTTCAGGAGTATTCCTTTTGGCAGTGCAGGGCACAGCGCAGGTTCTCATGTAACCTCCAATGAATGAGTGAATGAAAAAATAAGTGAATGACCAGAGCCAGAGCAGCCCAAGATGCCACCTGCCATCAGCTGTAAGGCCCCCTCCCCCACCAGACAGTTTCAGAGTAGAATTATCTCAGATCAGTGTTTACAGTTTACATTATTTCAGCATGCCCATGCAATTCTGGTCTGCATCATACATATTTTGCATAGATACAGACCCATGGTAGTTTGTGTAGCTTAATGTTTCCGCATACCCTTAAACCATGAGCATCTTCCATGTTGCTACACTGCTTTCATTACAATGTTCTGTCAAGTGGATGGGCGTAATTTAATTAAACATTCCCCTGTGGTTGGATATATTTGGCGCCTCCATGTTTTTAATAAAATAATGCTTCAGTGAACATGTTACAGAATAAAGTTTGATTTCTTGGCTTGGATTATGAATTTAGGATTAAATCCCAGAAATTGAAATACTGAATTAAAAGGGATGTAAGTTTAATAGCTCTTAGTACAAATGGCTAAATTACCTTCTCAGGGGATTAGGTTTAGTGATGCTGCTATCAGAAGAGAGGGTCTCATGAAGGAAAAAAAAGATCAGAGTAAAGTTCATCACTGCTGTAATTTCTATTTGCATTTTATTTCTTTTTTTATTTTAGTTTTTTAAATTGTATTTGCATTTTAAATGTGTTTAAGGTTGACTCTACATTCACACCTTTAAGTACTTATATTTCCTGCATTTATCTGTCTATATGGTATGGAACTTTTTGATCCATGAAGGCTACCAGCCACATCATTGTTCCCCTCTCCAGACTCTTCTGTATCTTGAAGGAACCTGCAGGACGGTTGAAAGTCAGGGTCTTCTTTGCTGAAAGCCTGGGATGCCATGTGACTCATCCAATCCTTCCCCAAATATCTCCCTCCTAGGCAACCTGGGTGTCCTGTGGAAGGTGATGGTGGGGTGGGGTGGGGACCTGTGCTAAGCTCCTCTCTGTTCTCTGTCCAGCTCCGTCGATGCCTGAATATGACACAGACACCCCACTGAATGAAACAGACACGACCATCACGGTGATGCTGAAGCCCGCTCAGTCCCGGGGAGCGCCTGTCAGGTAAGGAGGGGTCTGAACCTGACGATTGCCGTTTTCTTTCTCTTCACCATGCGCACCTCCAGCTGAATCATGCCACTGGCAATGCCTGTGGGCAAGACTGCCCAGGAGCAAGGCTTCCTGGAGAAAAAGGTTCAGCAGCTTCAAGCCCGGTTCAGAGGGCCACCGAGCCAGGAGCCCTCTCTCCCCTCCATGGGGCACTGGCTTAGTGGGAAGGTGTGGATGAGGATCTGAAAAGGGCTGGGAGAGAACTTTCTGGAACAAGCCTATGGTAAATTTACTTAGTCAGGCTGGAGGCCCCGGGAACACAGTATCCTGGCAAGATCACCTTTACATGCCCATCTGCCGTTAACAGACATGTAGACAAATGCACCAAGTGATCAAAACAACCTGCTCAGAAATTTCAAAGGGGAGACAACCTCAGCGCTAGTCCCATTTGTAGCCTTGGTGTTCCACAGGGGACTTGAAGTCAGAGTCACACTACAGGTGTGTTTACAAGAGGCTGGAGTCCCGAGTGTATCTACAGTCCAGGCAGTGAAGGCATCTCTGTACCCAAGCTGATCCCCAAGCAAGTCCATGGGCTTCTGCCTATCAGGAAGGTGGGCACCTCTTTTAAATAAGCTATGCTTTGTATCGTGGTGGCCAGAAAGTTCATCGAGGTTTTCCATAAGATGTTACTGGCTTTTGCTCAGAGCTCGAGGGACTACAGACCCTTGAAGCCAAGCAGAGTGTTCGGTGGAACAGCTTTCAGATTGGCTCAGTTCAGCTCAACAAGCATGCACGGAGTATTTTATATGCCAGGGATGGAGCAGAGTACAGAGGATGAAAGCAATTCATTGATTCCTTCATTTGACGAACGTTTCTTGAGCTCTCACTGGGTGCCAGGCGCTGTTTAAGTGCTTGGAATGTGCCTGTGAACTGGCTGCAATTGATTCATGTTCTAAAGAAAGCTGGACTCTAGTTGGGGAGACAGAAACATGAAAGCTTAGTTTCAGTGCAGCTCATGCTTGTGGAGATGCACATAGGAGCTCAGAGGGCAGAAGTCCCAGAGGAGATGACAGTGAGATGTATCTTTGTTGTTGTTCAATCCCTAAGTCATGTCACATTCTTTGTGACCCCATGGACTGCAGCACACCAGGCCTTCCTTTCCTTCACCCTCTCCCGGAGTTTGCTCAAACTCATGTCCATTGAGTTGGTGATGCCACCCAACCATCTCATCCTCTGTTGTCCCCTTCTCCTCCTGCCCTCAATCTTTCCCAACATCAGGGTCTTTTCAGTGAGTCAGCTCTTTGTGTCAGGTGGCCAAAGGATTGGAACTTTAAGGGATATATCTTAAATGTTGTATGAGATTTCAGGGCAATAAGATGGTCCCGCATAAGTGAAGGCGTGGAGTCAAGACAGAGCCTGATGTCATGGGGAGCTACCAGGAGCAGTGATATTTGCTGCAGCATAAAGGTCGAGGCCTAAAGGAGATCAGTCCTGGGTGTTCATTGCAAGGACTGATGCTGAAGCTCAAACTCCAATACTTTGTTACTGTAGATTACCAAACTGCTATGTTTCTTCCTGTTATTCTCAAGCAATGTTGCCATTATCTCCCCTCTATGCACTCAGATTGGACTTCCCTGGTGGCTCAGATGGTACCAAATCCACCTGCAATGCAGAAGACCCAGGTTCGATTCCTGGGTCAGGAAGATCTCTTGGAGAAGGAAATGGCAACCCACTGCAGTGTTCTTACCTGGAGAATTCCATAGACAGAGGAGCCTGGTGGGCTTTAGTCCATGGGGTTGTAAAGAGTGGGACACGACTGAGGGACTGACACTTTCACTTTCATGCACTGAGATATTACCATACTGGTTCACCCAAAAAATGTACCATTAGGTCCCACGTGTGCTAAGTCACTTCAGTCGTGTCCAACTCTTTGCGCCCCTATGGACCATAGCCTGCCAGGCTCCTCTGTCCATGGGTTTCTCCGGGCAAGCATACTAGAGTAGCTTCTAGTATCTTTGCGATCTCCAGGGGATCTTTGCGACCCAGGGATCGAACCCACATGTCTTACGTCTCCTCCTTTGCAGGCAGATTCTTTACCATTGAGCTACTGGGGAGCCCTTGAGATCCCACATTCTCCAGTTGAAAGAGCTGGCCAGCTTCCATTTGCTGAGCACACACTGGCTCTGTGCCTGTCACTCTGCATAAACTGCCTGCCTCCTCACAGCACTGCGGTTGTAGCTTCCCCATTTTGCAGATACGGAAACTGAGATACACAGAAGCTAAGTGCGTTGACCCAGCCAATGGAACACTTAAGTGTGCAGGCAGACTTTAAGCCCCATTCAGCCACCCCAAAGCCAACACTCACTTCAGTCTAGCCATACCACCTACCTAGGAGCAAAGTCATGCATGATCTATTTTGGTGACATTTCCATTGGAAAAAAATTAAAATAAATGTCACTGCTCAGAGGGCAATGCCTGGTGTCTGGAAAAGTCTGGGTGCTTTTGTTCTTAAGCTCTAGATCACTGAGGGTGGCTCAACACTCATTTTCTGGAATTATTTTCAGGCTCTTGCTTGGGCATTTGCCAAGAAGGGAAGAGACTGATCAGTGCCAGCCAGCAAGGCTTTCAGGACAACCGTGGTGACAGCAGAAGCAATGTCACATAGAAGTCAGCTACCTTAATCTGTGTCACCTTGAACTCTGGGCACTAGAATGCCCCTGTGGGAGGCGGTCGAGCATTAAATCATTTAACAAATATTTTTAGAGCAGGAACTGAGCTAAGCCCTGGAGATATAGCAGGAAACAAGACAGACATACACCTGTCCTCTAGAATCTTTGTTGCTGTTCAGTCACTAAGTCGTGTCTGACTCTTTGTGACCCCATGGACTGCAGCACACCAGGCTTCCCTGTCCTTCACCATCTCCTGGAGTTTGCTCAAACTCATGTCTATTGAGTCAGTGATGCCATCCAACCATCTCATCTTCTGTCACTCCCTTTTCCTCCCACCTTCACTTTCTCCCAGCATCAGGGTCTTTTCCAGTGAGTCAGTTCTTCACATCAGGTGGTCAAAGTATTGAAGCTTGAGCTTCAGCATCAGTCCTTCCAATGAGTATTCAGGACTGATTTCCTTTAGGATTGACTGGTTTGATCTCCTTGCTATCCAAGGGACTCTCAAGAGTCTCCTGTCGAACCACAATTCAAAGGCTCAATTCTTTGGCACTCAGCCTTCTTTACGGTCCAACTCTCATATCCATACATGTCTACTGGAAAAACCATAGCATTGACTAGGTGGACCTTTGTCGGCAAAGTGATATCTCAACTTTTTAATACACTGTCTAGGTTTGTCATAGCTTGAGTCTTATCATCCATTGAATATGCTTGTGAATGGGGCAGGGAGGGGGCATTAAGGAAGAGAGGAAAGAGAATAATGAAACCAGCAAAGCAAGATAACATGAAGCCAGTAGGGACAGTGACTGTATTGGTTGAGAGAAGGGGCAGGCAGGCTGGAGAGATGAGCACAACCCAGGCAAGTGGACCAGCGTGGAGTCCTGCAGGCTAGGAGAAGCAGGAGCCTTGAGAAAACAGCCAAGGCAGTCTGTGACCCCTGGACACAAAGAGCTCTCTAAATGCACTGGGTCAAGGATGCCCAGAATCATGTTTTATATTAATAGCTAATAGTGCCTGTAATTCCATCATAGCATCTGATTGTCACTTAGCCAGTGAGTAAGCTGTGTAGAAAATGCCATCTCCATTTCAGAGGAGAAGCTGAAGACTAAGATATTAAGTGACTGGCCCAAGGTCATGGACCTAGTGGACCTAGCTTCCTGCCTCTGAGTTTGTTTCTCCACCAGAAGTTCTGAGTTCCCCCTAGCTGGGATGTCAGGTGATGACAGGGTGATCTTCTGGTGGGGTTGCTGTGGAGTGAACTTCCACCAACTAGGGAGTGAGGGGTGGACAAGACAGTTCTGGCTGTGTGGGCCTAACCTGTAGCTGATGAAGCCCAGCATGACTGAGTGGAGAGCCTTCCTGTTCTCCGGCAGACTCGTACCTGAGCCTCAGCCTCCAGGCCAGCCCCAGGTAGGCTCTTCCTCCTTCTGCCTGTGATGCTGCGATCCTGGCTGAGCCAAACTCAGCCCCTGGTGAACGGCCTGCTGCCCCGTGCGTGAAGCCACACGACTCTGACCCTGTCTGGTAGGACTGAGCATGGCAGGGTGATGGTTGGATCAGGAGAGGAAGGATTGCCACTGGGGGCTCCCGCACCCTCATCCCTCCAGCCCAACCACCTTGGCAGCTTGGCCTATTTTTCTAACACTCCGCAATGGAGATTTATTGCTTTTGCATTGCTTTCCCCAGGCCTTCAAAGATTTATTGGTTTTTAAGTGACAGAATCCCAGAATTGCTTAAAAGATCAATCAAATAGTGACTAGAATCTAATATTCAGCTCCAGCTCGCACACGCTGAGCCTTCTTCCCTCACGCCCCGCCTGTCATGCTGATGTATCTGTAGTAACCTTCATGAGAAAGTAACTTGGCCGTGAATTAATCACCCATAATGCAGTCCTGGAAGGGACGCCCAGGACAGAGCCCCCGGTTCTGGAGCAGACCCTCCTCTGGATCCCCAGCTGGCTTCCTGAGAGCTGTCCTCCTCACTCTCCCCCTCCACTGTCTCCTTCCTGTCCCATCACTCACTGGGACCCATCCACTCAGCTTCTGCATCAGCTTTTTTTTGAACTTCCCTGACCAGGGATCAAACCCACACAACCCCTTGCAGTGGAAGCATGGAGTCTTAGCCACTGGCCTGCCAGGAATCAGCTTTGGGATTAGTTCTTTCTCCCCCCTCTGCCACTGTCCACCCTGTTCTCCTGACCTGCCAGGGCAGCTTTCTGGTATGCCTGTCATAAGTTCCTCTTCCTTCAGTCTATCCCCTACAGAGTTTCTGAACTGGTCCTTTAGAAGCACAAATTGGATCAAGTTAATTTTCCTGCTTAAAATTCTTAAATGGGTCACTGGCTTCCTA